AAAATGTCCATATATTAAAACATCTGATGACAGGTTAACTCGTTTACTTCTCTCTTGGGACATTTTCAAATGTGTTCTCAGCAGATTGTATAAGGAAAATAAAATAATGGATTTTAGCTGTATGTATTACAATGCAATAGAAAATGTACAATATATATTTTTAAGCGAGAAGAACAAAACAAATAATGTATTCTTCAGCTGGCCACCTAAACTTGAGTGTTCCATAGCATCTTTCACATATCAACATGTGTTCATGAAAAAGTATTTGATTTAATCATGGGAAAATTTTGTTTTATAAACACTGAAACTTTCATACAAGATCACATATAAATATCACAAACATTTTAAGAATTTTTATCTACCTTATGATCTATGAAAATAATCACATTTGCACACACTTGTGCTTTCAGACAAATACAACTTGTATTAATAATAATTCAAAGGGTGATAGGCCAATATACTCAGTACATAGTAAAACCAAAGTCTTATTATTGATAATAATGTTCCCTGTAAACTACTTTCATTATTTTCTATCTATTGATTTTATTCATTCTTAATCAAATAATAAGTACCTCTCAATATCACCTAATACAATTAATGTGCAGCACTCAGTGACACTATCTAATCCATATCATTTACATCTATTGAACAATAAGAAAAATCTTTTAAAAGTTTCTTACAGCATACTTTTCAGAAAAAAAAAAAAAAAAAAAAACATAACTACAAGCTTAATTCAAAAACAAAAATTCCAAAACTATATCAATGAAACATTAGCATCACAAACTGGCACTTGAAACAAAAAAACAAAAAAACTAAACAAAAATGCAAAAATGAGTGTGCGAGGCATATTGAACACACTTTGTACTGAGCTACACCAAGTCAGCCTACTGCATTTACACCGCCACTGGGAATGATCAACAATCTATTCTTTCGGTATTCATTTATGAGCCGACTTCATCCACCACATCTTGCACAAGCTGGGCCTTTTTCTTGCCTGTGACCTTTATACCTCGGTCCTGCAGCCAGCTTTTCAAGACGTCGACAGTTAGCTTGTCCGCCTGTGGGTGAGGGCAAGTAAGTTACCAATATTTGTGGGATTAGCTAATAAACAATGTGCACTATTAATGAGCTAGGTTATGTTAACTATGTTAAGATTGGTTTATCTTTGCAATGCTAGAAAAGTCTGTGTAGTTTACTATATTTGCATAAGATGACTAAATCAATATAAGCTCGTTATGCTAATTTTGCTACATTAGTAGATGAATTTTACCTAATGAGTCGGCTAAATTGGTGTATGGTGGGTAATAAATTTACTACATTTGTAAAGTTAGCTAATTAGTACAAGCTAGTTAATAACTTTACTACACTAGTAATTGCTAGTACAAATCTGTAGCTATAAAACAGCTAAGTTTGTACAATTTTGCTTCCCTGGTATAGCTGGATAAACCACTTTAAACATTTAATATTCAGATTACTTAAGTTTGAAATTTACACAGATATTTAGTAAACCTCATGAAAGATGGAAAAAAATTTTTTTTTGTTTAACTGAGAATCACAAAAAATAATTTTCTAGTACAAAAATTACATTGTACTACATCATCCTTAACATACTAAGACTATGTGACTCAACTGTATACAAGTAACTTCTATTGTTTTGATCTTAAGAAGAAATATATTCATCAATAGTCAAGTTACAAAGAAAGAAAAAGTTTAATCAGACCAGGATTATCAACTCTATGATACAAGAACATACTGACATCCACTAAAACCAAACTAAAATGATAGTAATCAAAATCAAATTAACTACATTCACAATCCAAAACTGTCTGCAACAAAAGCACAAAAGTAAACAAATCCATTAATGCCCAAAATACGAGCCTAAAGTCGAAATGATAAAAGCTCAGTCATCTAAATCCTACTGAAAATTCTGCCAAAAGAAGAAAAGTGTAATAGAGCAAATGACTTTGATTTACATTATCTATTACCCAAAATAATAAATGCATGTAATGCATTAAATGAAAATTGGAAAAAGGAAAAAAAAGAAAAAGAAATATTTAGAAAAAAACAAGCAGGCAAGCGAGCAAGAAAAGAGCAAGAGAAAAGAGCAAGAGAAAAGAGCAAGAGAGCAAGAGAGCAAGAGAGCAAGAGAGCAAGAGAGCAAGAGAGCAAGAGAGCAAGAGAGAAGAGAGAGAGAGAGAGAGAGAGAGAGAGAGAGAGAGAGAGAGAGAGAGAGAGAGAGAGAGAGAGAGAGAGAGAGAGAGAGAGAGAGAGAGAGAGAGAGAGAGAGAGAGAGAGAGAGAGAGAGAGAGAGAGAGAGAGAGAGAGAGAGAGAGAGAGAGAGAGAGAGAGAGAGAGAGAGAGAGAGAGAGAGAGAGAGAGACAATCACTACATTAGCCTTACCTTTCCAGCCTTGGCCATCTGCTCGACATCCACACTCGCTGGATCTGGCTTTGCTCTCTTGGGTGCCGATGATGTACCACTGGCTGCCGGACGCTTCTTGGGGGCTGCATTCGGATCATAAGATGGAGGATAGACCATCTCCCTAAAGCTCTCGATCAGGCTGCCTGCCTTCTTCCGTATTCGCTCACCATCTGGCACTAGAAGGTTCAAAACAAAATGATGTACATGGAGCCTAATATGTTCAAAAAATCATCATTAGATATTTCTAAGGCATTATTTCTATACTATAAGAATACAAAAGAAAAAAAATAAAAAAAAAATAAATAAAAAATTAATTATGGTGATGTGTTCGCAATATGATATCAGTTTTAGGATTCGAGATGAATAAACACAAAATGATTATTTAAAAGTTAACATGATTCCCCTATAATTTTTTATGAATACAACTAGCAAGTAAACTATTATGATGAATAGAGGGAGGAGGAGGAGGAGGAGGAGGAGGAGGAGGAGGAGGAGGAGGAGGAGGAGGAGGAGGAGGAGGAGGAGGAGAGGAGGAGGAGGAGGAGGCAGGAGGAGGAGGAGGAGGAGCGAGGAGGAGAGGAGGAGGGAGAGGAGGAGGAGGAGGAGGAGGAGGAGGAGGAGGAAGAGGAAGGAGGAAGAAGAAGAAGAAGAGGGATATAAAAAAGAAGAAAAATGTGGCTTTCTTCAACTACCAAACACTCATCCGACCCTTGTTCCTTTTCTACTAACCAGTATAATCCACCAACTCTTCCAGATTGGATCTGTTCAATGCCAGAGCTTCGATGTTCCGCCAGTGTGTCTGTATGTCAGGATTGTCAAAGTTCTCTGGAGAGTACTTGAAGTGGAGTTTCTTCACCACATCCTTGGCTGCATCAACCTGGTCTACTGAAGCTCGTGTGACATCTTCAATTTCGATGTTGCGGAAATCATCTATTGAATGACAGGGAGTAAAAAAATAATAATAATAATTAATAGATAATAGCAACAATAATTAATAGATAATAGCAACAGTAAATAACTAAATAAAAAGGAAAAAAATGATAAAAGGATCTATCCAAAGATCTGTCAATTCACCCTTTGTAAACAGTAATACACAAAAATAAATTGTACAAAAAACAATAACAAATGAATATCTTAAGAGACTATGCATGGTACCTCAAATTGTAAAATTATCAGTCCTATCTAATGTGAATGAATAAGTGCAACATCTATGAAAATAAGCCACAGAAATACATGTTATGGCTGACATTTTGCCTGATGATTATAAACTCCTTATCTCCCCCTCCACATTTCCCAACTTTAAATTTTCATAATGAAAAAGATACAATTATTTCCAAAACTGTAATATAAATCAACATACAATAATTACTGCTTTCTATCAATAGGAGTATAAGTGTAGTTCTAGCAGCATATTCTCCCGTGTTGCAACATAGATCAAATGTATTTTATTTTTTCATTAATACTTTCATGTATACGTTCAACTAAGGCAATATATCTAAATATTACTCTGCCTTTGAAGACAGACAGGAGATAATTTATGATAACTAAATGCTCTGCAATGTTTTTGATACAGTTCATTAAGAAGAAAGGAAAGAAAGAAGAACAAAGGAAAGAAAGAAGAACAAAGAACAAAGAAAGAATGAAAAAAAAAAAAGCTATAAGGTAGAAAAAAGTGCAAAGCACAATGAAGAAGTTTTAATGTGCATTGTTTTTTTCTACCATTCAGATTGTTATACACATATCATAACAGTTAAGTCATATAGAGACTTAGCCTACACTTCTAAGTACATCCTAGCCTATCAATACTTTTCACTTCTTGAACATCATTTCCCATTTGATTTCACAATAATTGTTAATTCTAAAATAAATTATTACTCTTTCTGCACGACCCATTAACAATAACACTAAAGAAAAAAACACACCAGCAAAGGGGAGGTGGCAGGCATAAAATCCAGGAGGACTGATCTGGCAGTTCTTCTCATCCAGCTCTTCCTTCTGCGGGATGAGGGCTGCCCACGAGACCGAGGATCCCCTGCGAGCCACCATGCGCACTATGGGGGCCACTTTACGAGCCAAACAACGGTCCAGCAAAGCAGCAAACACCTTGTTGCTTCCTGTACATGATGGGCATAATATCATAATGATGATGATAATGATACATAGTATATATATAAAAAAATAATAATGTGTTGAAATATAGTATACTGAACAGGAAAAGAAACTGCTATAGCAATACACTCAAAAAGCTCAATAAAGATAAGAAACTTCGAAAACCTTGAACTCCTGTAGCCGGAAATTCTTTTGTAAACAAAGCCAAGATAATGTTCAATCTGTGCATCAGATAGATGTATAACTAACTAACTCACTCACTCATACACTCACTAACTAAATGAATAAATAAATAATTGGAAAAAATTTAAATAAAATTAAAAACTCACCTTGAACAGATTTCTCATCTGGATACAAAAAATTTGCTGGCTTGATGTGATAATAAGGTTTAATACTTTCAATTGACTTGAATCCAAGAAGTTCAATTCCTTGTTCATACACCTGGTTCATACTACGCAATTCATCCTGAAATCATGAAATTGAATTCAAAGACATTATTCTCATTAACAAATTAATACCTGTATAAAAAGAAAACTTATTTCCTTGGTTTGAATGAATACTTCAACCTATTGAAAAATCATACATTATACCACTGATGCTGGACACATGCACTGCTCTAAAAGGTTTTGCTATATATTTTCCATATAGATGTGTCCATAATCTCTTGTATGTATCATCACAAATTCAATTGCTAGGTCTAACTGGCCTCATGTATTTAACCCATGCCTTGAACTTTTTAAGAATTATTTCTCTCACTGTCATCATCAATGATATTCTCATCATTATTTAAATAACAATAATAATACTAATAACAGAAATTAAAATAACGTTTTACCTGAAAACTCATCCAGCATCTCTACAAACAGCCTGGGACTGAGCACAAAACCATTATACCCTTATTTTGAAACTATTTGACATTTTACCGCCTATCAATACCATCATCTCCCCTTCCGTGTATATCATTCCAACATTCACCATACTTTCTTAGAGATCATCTGATTACAGACTTTAGAATACAATCAAATACAACAAACATCTCCCTGTCATCTCTAGTAACACCTATTTCAGATCAAAGAATGTATTGATCATATGTCTGCCTCTCCTAAAAATACATGTCTGCAATATCTACATCTCTCTGCCTTTTTCCTAAAACCCTTTCACCTTTGTACATGCATTTACTGGATTCTTGTCAACTACCTTTTCAATTATGTAACAGAATGAGTGAACTGCTTGTCCATGAGAATGGCAACTCTCCTGCTCCCAAAACTCTTTCACAGTTACATTTTTGTACTTTTTCTGCATTTCAATCATTAACCTTGACATACATGACACTTTTCCTTTTTAAACGACATAGAACTGACCTTATCTATTTCTCTCTCATGCATTCCAATAGGCCTTCAACCTTTTCAGTTCTTTGCATGCTGTCCCAATAATTCCCTGTGTTTAATAACCCCACATGCTCCTTCTATACCCTCAGTCTCACTGTGCTACCAAATATATGATTTTTTGCTTTTGCTTTACAGCACCAAATGCTAACTTCCTAGTATTTATGAAACTCAGATTTTCTATCAGTTCCTTTTCCTTCTCTTTCTTTTCTGTGGCCACAAATGCTTACCTACCCTTTTTGCTTCTCTATTCCATCTCTCTTTTTTTTTTTTTTTTTTTTACTTTCAGACAACCCTTAATTCATTTCTGCTCTACAACTTGCACAACTTATTTGTTTCTCAATGAATATCAGCACTGATGTACAACAAAATTTTCTTGCTATCTGCATAATGTTAACATCCCTATCCTCCACTCCTATGCTGCATTTCCCAGTCTGGATGAACCTACAACTAAAAAATTCACTTCTCTTACAATTTTTTTTCTTCCTTCCTCATTCCTCAATTTACAAGCTTCCTCTTTTTCACCTGCATGTTTTGCATGGTAATTCTTTTCTTTCTCCATGCTAATTCAAATATTAGTAACTTGCTTTGTACCAAACACTCATCCCCAAGAACAACTTTCACACCTTTTATGTTTTTCATCTTCTCAACACACAATCTACCCACCACCAGTTCATTCTCTCCTTGGGAAAACAACAAAAGATGGCAACTCTTTCTTTGACGAATGTATTATCAATCTTCTGGTTGAAACTCATCATCTGCCTATTACAAATTATCTTCCTTTGATGCCTTTGATGCAATCTTTTCACACCTTCTCTTTTCTCCCATACATATTCATTCCTATCTTTCACTCACTCCTAACAAAACTTTTTTCCCTGGGATATCTTCTAACCATAATTACAGTTTATATTTGGAAGAGAGAAAGAGAAAAAAAAATGTTATCTATCCTAAGAAAATATTTAGGGATACTAAGGTTATACATAAACATAAGATATTAAACCACTTATGTGTAATTAAAAAATATATCAATTAAAAATACAGCAGATATGTCCTCCTAATGTCTATTACAATCTAAAATGGAGGATAATGTCACTTGACTATTTTCTGTCTATCTGACTGTCTATCCGTCTGTCTGTCTGCCTCTTTACCAGTAAAATAATGCTATCATCCTATCAACCTCTTTCTATCAGCATGTATAAAAAACAATAACAACAAACCAAATGCAGATCATCCAAGTAACTTACCAAAGAAAATTTGATTTTCTTCCCTCCATACACTTGGTATTTCACATAATCTGATGGCATCAACAGCTCACCAGTCTCCTGAAAATATCAAAATCAAAATATTACAGCTAACTTGTTATCTGTGTTCCTTTAGCTTATCCTATGTGATAAACGTTTGAATAATTGTGGTATCACTTTCATTTTATCTAGTAATTCACTGCATCACAATAACCATTGAAATATTCAGAACAGGCAATACTTATGTTAGTAAGAAAATTACAAAAGAATTTCAACGTCTTAGCTAATACAAATTACTGCAACAACCTAAATCAACTCAAGAAGGCATTATGCAAAAGTGTACATTCTTAGCACAGATTTCTGTATCGAATCTATTCTCCTAGGAAAGCAATGACATCATCAACCCATGCATGGCCCAAACACAGGCATTAGGTTTATTTGAGTGGCCACTCGCAGGTGTGTGGCTTGTAGGCACAGTCCATACAAAAGAAAAGTTTGTGTTATGTCAAGACTCTTTGCTCCCCCTTTGCAATATTATCATCTCTTTTTCTATATAAGCATTTTTTGCCATTTTCTGAGGTTTGATATGCTGTATCAAGATGGTAAAAGACTGTTTTCAGACCCCATATCATATCTCTAGGTAGTCCATTACTCTGTGCAATAATAACAAGTAACAAGTAATTTTTTTTGTAATGCACCCTATGCCATCGGTCAGGGCATGCAAGAATACGATCCTCCCTGGAGCCAGTGCTCTTGCAGTCATGGCTCACAAAGGTTTATTCCACATTTGCTTACCCATTGGAATAATACAAGAAACACTTCCTTCACCCTCCAAGCCCTCCAAGAGCTTTGTCCACTCGTGGTGAGCCATTTCCCTCACCTTCAGCTGAAATTCTCATGACTGTGTTCCCATCACCTTGAACCTCAGCCAAAATTTTTCATGAAGGCATGTTAACATTAGTCAACCCTCTAGCCAATTTTTTTTTTAATGACACATGGTCATATCACTAAGATCTAAGGGGTTTAGTTGAAGTGTTGGTGGAATTATCCAGATATTAACCTCACTGATGACATTCTCCACATTTGTACAGTAGACAAAGTCATAGACCTACAGAAAAGCACATAAGTGACACATTTCAATGCTATGCATATTAGGCAGACTATGCAGCTGGCTGTGACAAAACTTTTTATGATGAAGTAGGTTATGGCTTTAATGCCAGAATCCATGAACATCACCACAGCTTCCAGTGCTATGGTGGCTTTATAGAGGAGGATGGCTATCTAGGCCTTCAGAGAGTATAAGTACATGAAAAAGATAAAAAGTGTAAATTGTTATCTTCAAATTATTACTGTTACTTTTTAAAGGCAATATAAATGTGTTAGACATTGAATGCCATATAGCACTGTAGGAAGGTATAGTATCAGAAAGGGTAGAGATAGGGGGTGAGTTTATGGTTAGGTGTTATACGTCAATAGTCATAGAGTAGTAGGATGGTATTGGAAAAGGTATAAAAATGGGTAGAGGTGGAGGGGATGAGTGAGTGGGTTAAGACTGGAATAAGCAAGAGGGCATTAGATCAAGTGAGGGATATGTATGTGTCTGAGGAAGGAGAACAGGTTTTCAAAGCAGAAAGTGTGGGATGTGTTCCATGCTGTATATTTTAAATGAAGTGCTGTAGTATAATCCGAGTTTCACCATGGAACACACTTTGACATATAGGGTCAGGAGGTTTGGGAAATGGCCGCATAGGCAGTTCATAAGACTGCTACTAAAAAATATCTGAAATAGATGAGAAGGGGGATGGAGGGAGAGGAATAATAGAGAATGAAATAAAAGTTTGCCAGTCAACTCTATCGGAGCACCGTCATGGGGGATTAAGAAGTGGGATATATGAATTAGGTGAAAGGAGGATTGGAAAGTGGTCCCTAAAGGGAAAGTGATCTAAAATTGACCAATGGAAGTCTAAATAGAGAGAAGGGGAGCATAGAGAGAGTCAAGGCATGAAGACAATTGTGTGTGCATGTCAAAGTGCGTGAAGCAATCTAAATTAACTTAGGATAATGAGGTCAGTTGTGGAAAGGAAGTGTTCTAAGGATCCACCATGGGGGGTTGTGGTGGAATCACCCCGAAGAGTGTAGTGGCTGTTGAAATAACCTATTATGAGGAAGAGTGGTAGACGTTGAGAGAGTAAAGTTTCAAAAGTGTTAAAGTCAACAGAAAGAGAAGGGAAAGTAAACTGAAACAACTGTAATCCAATGGCAAAGAAAGATGCAGATAATGGTGCAAGGGACAGTGGTTTGATAGGAAGGTCTAATGAATGGTGATTTTGATGAATGAGTCTTGAGGAGACAGAGAGAGAGTGAGGGGATGATACAAAATGATAACTTGGAATCAGTACTGGAGGATGTGTTGGGAAGTTTCTTGAAGACAGATCATGGAGGGTTTGTAGGAAAATATGAGATGACAGAGATCAGGTCTGTGAGAATGGAAGATAAACGGTCCACTCCTCAATGTACCCATGAGGAGTAAGGGCTAGACATTAACAAGGGAGTACCATACCCATGGCTCCCTGTGGCCGTTCATGACTAGCACAAAGTCAGCTGTTCATCCTTTCGAAATGGCTCTCACACCTTAGGAATTTGACAGGGGAAGAAATTGGGGAAGGTAAGGAAAAGAAAAGGAGAAGGAGAAAAGACTGCAAAATTATTTGAGCCGAGACCTGAGGTCGAAGTCAGCGGTGATCCCCTACCATTGGCCTCAGTCCTCGTCTCCTAAGCCACCAATGACAACAACGGGCATGGGATTGGGGGGGGGGGGGATATAATTACTTTAAGGAGAAAATGAACATGTCCAACAGTTCCAAATTCTTCAAGTTAACAAAAATGAAGCTGAAAATCATCAATGTCACCGACAGTAGTTGTCTCTTCAGCCTCAAACAAATATACACAAGCTTTGTAATCTTGCTTGAATATGAAATTCTGATGAACATGTAATGTGAAAAAGAAGTATTTCCTCTTTATTCACACCTCATCAGTGTCAAAATGAGTTTTTTCAGCTCTACTGTACCTTATTTTTTATTACTCACCTCTAAGTATTCTTTCTTCATATATCTTACTTCTTCATTGGTGTTTTTCCATAACTTCACTTTATATGGTTTGTTCATTTTCCTGTAGGATGGAAATGGAAGTAAGCATATGACAATAATGTCCCCTTAATTTTCATGTCATAATAAAATATACTCTCACTCATTCAGTCTTTGCATGAAAACTTTGATTATAGTTTCTTAAAACATACAATATCTTTCATAACTTATCTCTAAGGGGCTCACACTATACTAAAAAAAATGTCCGCAGACCCTAACAATATGCAATCTATAAACCAGACTGAATTCATCAAGGCAGAAACCACCCTTTTTCTTGCTTTCTAATTCCATTTATAAATTACAATCCCCATATACATATAGCTCTTTTTCTTTTTAAAGTTTCGAAATCATACAAGTTTCTGACCTGACAGTGGTGTACACTCCAAGAGCCATTTCAACTCCAGGTGCCAAGGTGAAGGTGACTCTTCCCGTGGTGCGTTGCTTGTGTTCCAGCCGCTTCACTCTGTCCATCAGCTCCTCGAAGCGACTAGCAGGATCTGCGAGGGTTTCTTTTTCTTGCGACTCTTCATCTTCACCGTCGTCTGGGATGATAAGATCCTGGTGGAAATTTTTCAGAAGTGAGCATTACTGCTATACAGGTTTAGAGAAAAATGAAAGATGAATTATCAATTTTCTATCATGTTCATTTTTTATCTGTGCTTCACCATTAGATACTGCTGTCCTCCTTTGAACATTAAGGGATGAGTTCTAAGAAATCTCATGTAAAAGAATGCTTTAATATATTCACCTAGCAGGGATGGCAATCATCAAGGATGTGATTACAGTGCTGAATTCAAATTTCTGCAACCAAGCAACTAGTAACTCTATGTTTATGAATATTAGTAATATACTTTTAATGACCTGTGAGGTCTTCTGACAAGTGCAGGCCACTATTACAATTCTCTTGAACTTGTACTAATCAACACTATTTTCCCAACTGAAAAAAAGAAAATAACTAGCAATGATAATATTTCATTGGAGATGAAAACATTATTATTGGAACATATTTTGGGGTGCATGACAGGGTTAACATAAGACATAATCATGTGTATCTAACTAAATATGTATAGGTTTCTTCTTTTACTATTTTAAATGTAACAACATGAAATAAAAATGAATACTACTGTAATTGTATGTACTGAATTTGATATAGAAAATACACATATACTGCTTGACATACCAATTCATATCATATTTAGGAAATGTTTTCATGTTTATTTATCCCAAGAACTACACAATTAACCTGCTTCCGCTACTGACTGCATGTACGGACATGCCATGCCCATTGATGGCTCCACAAGTACTTAGTCACAAAGGAGTAAATTACTAGTACTACCTACCTTACCTGCTTACCCTTTTCCTAGATTTTTGGAAATACTTCTCTTTTGCTTTATATTGCTCTTAATAAAGTTATGGCATTATAATAACTATAAAATGTATAGTAAGAATAACAACATCGATATTGACAGCATTTGTAAAAAAACATTTTTATTCAAAAACTCATGGAAAGGTGAAATCAGATGAGGTCACGATTTTACTAAATGAATCCTTGGTGGCTGAGAACTTGTGGAGCCATCTATGAGTAGAAAAATTTTACGAAAGAAAACCAAAGTGAACATCAGTTTCCCAGCAGCATGGGGTTAAGAAATTTGGGCATCCTCAAGGCATGCAATAAATGCCCAAAAATGAAAGCTCCAGTAAATAATTTGCCATGTTACAATGTACGAAATATGCATGCATAAGAAAGAACAAGGAGGAAAAAACACATTCATTCACATCTTTTGACTTAATCAAAACTTCTATTCTAACTTTTAACTAATCTTATATATCTTTACCAAAACATTTAAACTTTTCAACATTCATTAGAGGGCATGCACATCCAAAGGCATTCAGAGACTAATTGCCTAAAAATGCACTTATGAAATGCTTTGATAGTGTAACTTTTCACCTAAAACATTAGCACTGATATGTTCACATTAATGCACTATAATCATGAGATTAACATTAACAGATCAATTTTTATGTTACAGATGAAATCTAATCAAACTAAACTTAATAAATGTACCTTGGGCAATTGGTCTGAGAACATCTTTAGATGCATACAAACAAAATTTAATCTAGACTAGTAATAAACTCCTAAATGTGTGTGACCTTGAGCTAAGTTTGATATACATTTCTTCACTCCTTAAAACAAATGCTATCTGTGTCCCTGGTATTAGGTTAGATCACTTAAAAACAGTAATGTATGTTTGAGATTACATCACCAGTTTTTCAATAATACAATAACACATATTGCATCAAAACAAATATCTTTTTTTATTACTTACTGTCTACATACCCTGGGTTAAACAACATTATGGATTTACCTTATAAACTGTTTTTACACATTATAACATTAGAATCTTATCACCATTACATAAACCTGATACAGATAATCATGCCAAAACACAAATTACACTTCTCACCTCCTGAAACAATGAATCCTCTTTTGTACCATTTTCAACATTCATTCACAATAAACTTTTCTCATTTTACCTTGTAGAACTTGTTGACATCAAAGCTCGTTCCCATGTGCAAGAGCTCCAAGGAAATGCCAGCTTCGTTCAGGTCCTTGCCCTTCTGACGAGCCTGTTTCTGCTTCTGGTTATTGCCGCTATGAGGGTCGTCTTGGCAGGTGAACAGCATGATGCTCTGCCCGGCGAGTTTGCTTTTGCTGAAATGCCATGGAGATATTGCATATTTGTGATGGAAAATGAACGTAAATGCCTTGTACTGTCATCTGAATAATTAAATATTGAATGTATGACACTAGAAATACTATAAAATTCACCATTTACATAATCATATTTCAATTCATTGAGTTACTGCCATAATTTAGAGCTATTTAAGAAATATGAAAAATAGTATCTCATCAATCTAAAAAATATATGAATAAATGAATACTAATCAATGGCTCTGTCCAGATATATATAACTTCAGTAATTACCCACTATTTGTCTGATCAAATTGAATAAGACTTACAAAAATATATAAGAATTTCCCAAATATTATCTATATGACGCTTAATTTAGGAAATTATTTCTACAAACTGAATTCCTATCAACAACATATCAGAACATATTTCTACATACTGAAAAACGTGTTCCAGGTGTAATATCAATAAACAGGTAAGAATCTGAGCTTGGCAAAAGAACTGTAGTAAAGGAATGTATGAAACTTTGTTTAATAATACATAAAAATCACAGAAACAAAAAGGCTGCCTTTATAAACTAACTTGTGATAATTATCCCTGGAAATTCAATATTCAAACAATAATACTGTATCCATGTGATTTTTTCTCTACAAGCAATTCACAAAACAAAACAAAACAAAAAATCAGATCCTATCAACACCTGCTCTACAAACATGAAAAATTAAATACTCAAGAGAACAAAAATGAAAACAGTCACATGAACACCGAACAAACAGACATAAACCCCTAATCTCAGAAAACAAAAATGAAGACAAATACATACCACTTGTTGAAGATACTCTGACACACCCAAAGAGCTTCATGGATATTGGTATCGTTGCTGTGTCCGTACTCCCTTTCAAACTTACTATCACTCACTGCAAAGTCATCAAAAAGGCATGAAATGACTATGTAGATGCTTCTTATATTACTAAAAAGTAGAGAGTAAAATTTAGAAAATGTGGATTGAGGGCATATACTCAATTTGTTTCCATAAATGTGATGTGAATATTAAATAGTGAAAAGTATGAATATAATTTTTTTTTCTAATCTTTTTTTCATTGGTAAGTTTTCTGTTATATACTCAACAAATGAGTAATTACTCATGCTCTACCTGAATTAGAAATTTTAAAGCACCTTAAAATCTAGGTAATTAAGTAATAAGTTGAATATTTATTATCCACAGGCAGTGATTTTCAATGTTTTTGGTATTAGTAGTTTTGTAATATGATCATCTTTACTTCAACCCTATTCCTCCTATGTAAATTTAAAAGTAAAGAAACCTATTGAAATGCTTAATTTTGGATGCTTTTTACACACAAGAATTAATTTTACTGATGAAAGAAAATTTGATCCATGCTGCTGTGTCACTGTCCTAAATCACCTCTTCATTATATGGAAATGGCCCTCTTACCCAAACTTTCTTGCCTCACCTATCAAGGTTTAGGAGAAACCTGGTAATTGCTTCAGCCATAAGATGCCCTTCATTACGATCACAAAATGTACTTTCTTCTTTGATCTTGGTTAGTAGTGATGTCAGTTCATTATCATTATTATTTGTAAGTTTCCTCTAAAGAACTATCACATTTAGAAACTGCTTCATTACCCACAAAAATGGTATTATCCGCTAGTGGGTAGTTATTTGCAGTTTGAGAACCAATGTTCTAATATATACAACCACATACTAATATAACATGAGTGTTTAGTATATTTGTAGATGTCTTTTTATAAGGCCATAAAACAAGTAACTATGGAAGGACAGTCCTATATTAGCAAAAACTAAAGAAAATCAAAACTGTTTTTGTTTAATGCCTCTTTACCTATCAGTTTTACAATAAAATTATCATAGACTATATATGTAAATGCAGTCTGCACAATTCTGAGAAGACTCCACATGATACTAGTAATTTTGATGGATATACAAGGAAATACCAGAATCTACAAGGACACTTTATGGAAGTTTTCAAACACACTTTACAAAGTTTTAGAACATGTACGTATTACTTAAGATTTTCTCTCAAAATCACTCATCTCACTACCAAGGATAAAATGCATAAACTTACTTTCAATGAGTTCTTCAAGCTGCAGGATTTTCTCTGCTCCTGGACGCTCAAGTTCTTGCAAAATGTAAATACTTGGGACGTCAATGTTGTTCTTTGATTCCTTCGTGTTGTAGAGCACCACAGCACTGAGGTCTTGGTCACTTGAGATGATCTTTCTCATCATTGTTGCATGAGCACACTTGATGTTGAATGAAATAATACAGTTAGACATTCTGAGAGTTAGAACTTACTGAGTTCCTGTACTTAATTTTTCCATTATTATTTTCTATTCTACTTCTTATCTCTTGAATTACTAATACATGAAGAAAGAAATCATACATTTCATAAATCACATTGTATTTCTCAAAAAACAAAATATAGAGACACTGAACACATCAATGATAACAGATGAATCATTTCTTACCCTGATAGCTTTCTTGAAGGAGGACTCTTCATCCTCTCCATCATCGCCAGAGGTTTCACACATCTCCTTACTCGCATCAATCAGAAAGATGCTAGCCGCTCGCCCCCCAAATGTCCAGGATCCCTCCCCCTGCTCATCTCCGTCCTCCTCCTGGTCATCATCGAGATCGAATCGCCACTCACTCATGGTTCTGTTGTATGGTTCTATCTGGTGAGTAACCATATAATTACAATATATTCATGAATAAATGAATAAAATACTCTGGTACTGTCATACACTTTGTACATGAGATCACTTATGGACCAGCATGACATATGTGACACATATAGACACATCTTAAATATGTAAAATGAAAAAAAATCATTGAATGTTTGTCTTAAAATATATACATATGAATCCATGGCATGCTATATATCATGTCTGTAGTAATATTAGTAAATTAACAGTCTTTACACAATGATGGCTCCATAAGTGCTAAGTCACTAAACAAACGTGGAGCCATCCCCATATAAAAAAAAATAATCAAACCAGTGAACATTGCATAAAAATATAAATCAATAGATATATTTTCAAAGATTTTGTTTAGATATCACGATTTTTGAATAAAATTTTCCAGCCAAGTATTATGATTATTACTTTAATATCTATCATGATTTCAATTATGACATTTTTTTTCATATCACAGACACAAAATCAAATTAAAGTGAATTTAAAATCATTCTAACTACAATCTGAAAATCAATTCCTGGTATGACTGTTCAGGTGAACAGCCATACCTTACACATTTCAACAGAATAGAGTATTCTAACTTCCTATGTATTTTTTTTAATATAATAATATTAATAGTAATAACAATGATGATGATGATGATAATGGAAAAAGGTCGGGGAAAGCTCAGATCTCAGCCTAAGTCCACTCAGTACTCCTGAGCTTCAGCTCAATCTTGCTGTGTGTACCGAGGTGAAGGCAATGTTTCCCACCCCATCAACCCTCCCCTCAGGTCGGGCATGCCCAGTCAAGGCAATTTAGATTGATGAATAATTTTTTTGACATGGAGTTGGGAACTTAGTGTCTGGCAAGTGCGTCCACATCCATACTACAAAGAATTACCAAAAAAAACAAATATCATCTTCACCGAACATATGCAGCAAAGGTCTGCTTGCCTTTGATAGAGTGTCATAGTCACTGAGGAATAATCACTAAGATAATCCCTAAAATTAGATGGTGACCTTTTTCAGGGCAGCTGTATTTGTTGATGAGAGCGATGTACCCTCCAGAGTCCTAAAGTCCTAAAACCTGGGTATATTGCAACCCCCAAAAAACAAACCTAACCTGTCCTACTCTCATTTAATCTTTACAGATATGGATGCACTAAGGTAGGGGAAATTGAAGTTGATATTCTTGAAGATGACAAAAAGTTGTAATCGTTGGTAAAAGAAATAACCCGCAGACATGAAAGATAATGCCACAAATAAAGGAAAGAAATCGTGGAAAGTGCCACTCACAGCCCAAGTCCCCTTGGTCCTCCCAAATATCAATTCTATCTTGCTGTGTATACGAGGTGAAGACAATGTTTCCTAGGGGGTGTTGGGGGCAGATCCCATCAACCCTCCCCTCGGACACATCCAGTCATGGCAACTTAGCTTGATGAATAAATTATTTGTAATATTTTTGTTGTAGGCTGCAACATCTGTACCAGTGTTGCTAATGACTATATTTCTTATGCTCTATACGATGGCAGTGTCTATTTCCCTCTATTTCCAGGCGTCGCTCATGGCAACGAAACCTTGATCAAAAAGCCCTGTAAAAAGTGCTTTTGGGGAAAGAACGCCCAAAAAATCACAGCAGAGCCTACAACTAACTTCCTAAGAACTAATAATCAAACACAATCTATCACTACCTAATTTGCAACTGTTGCACGCACAACTATTCCATAGAACTGCCAGTTTATCCCGACTCCTAAGTATTTTATTGCATCATGGTCAACATAGCAAATATACACG